TTTCAGCTTGAGGGCTTAAACTAAGAATTTTCCAGTGGACAATTTCTCCTAGACTGAATACTCAAAACCCTTTAGCATTAACAGTGAAAATTAGCAATATTTGAAGCTACATGAGCCATGTGACCACTGCTGTTTTTGAGCCCTCAATGTTGCAATTCTTCTATTTTAAGGGCCCTGAGCTGACTACAGAGGGGGTCCAAAGTATAATGCTGTCTAGAACAGAAGCCACAGCTGGACAGACGCTGATAAAACCTACTAGTATTATGCTGTATTTGGTCATTTTTGGACACTACTTCAGTATTATTATTATTATTATTAGTATTGAGTTCAAACATCCTGGCTCCTGACTGACCCAGCCCGCATCATCCCTGGTTAACAACATGGTTCCATGTTTTGCAGCGTGATGCAGGAAGTACGGGCACAGTTCAACCCGGAGGCTGTGGTGATGCAGCTGGGTGCCGACACCATGGCGGGGGACCCCATGTGCTCCTTTAACATGACCCCAGTTGGGGTCGGCAAGTGTCTGCAGTATGTCCTGCAGTGGCAGCTACCTACACTGCTGCTGGGAGGAGGTACTCTGCATGTGTGTTTATTATTCTGGCTGATTTGATGTTTTTGTGTGTGAATGCATAGACGTGTCTACGTGTCAGTGTGTATGCATGTGTGAAATATGCGAGTGCTGTGTTCCTGTGTATGAGCACAGATGCACATGTGTACTCGGTGCAGTAAAATACTCTTTAATGAAAGGCGGCCAACGTTACCATGTCTTTTGCATATGTTTGTATTTTTTTGAATTTCAGTGTTTCACTCACTTGTGCACAATTAAATGCAAGTATACAGTACACGCAGACACACAGTGGTCTGTTCCAGACCCCTCAGCCCTTAGCCAGATGATAGCTACTAATTATATGACACAATGAAGCCATTTTACTCCACTACAATCCTACCTCTCTTCTATGTTCTCCCTCCCACTCTGTCCTGCGTACTTTCTCTCCGTTACATCCTCCTCTCCTCCTTGGTTCTCTAGACTTTACTGAAGTCCATCCTCTTTATCCTTCATTCTTTCCCTTTCAATCCTGCTTTTGTGTGACAGAGTTGATAACTTTTCTGACCTATTTTTCTTCCAACCTGTTGTGATGAGTCAGATTTCAGCTGTGTCGACAGTAATACTGGCTAAACTTGAAAATGTGTATTTTCGTCAGATTTCGGCTGTGTCCACACTGACACTGGCTAAACTTGAAAATGTGTATTTTTCTCTCCCTTTATATCTTTTTCAGATTGCCTTTATCTTGTAGTTGCTAGATTTACTGAAATAAAACAGATCCACCTTTGCCTCTCCCAAAACGAGTTTGGATTTTAAGAACTTGTATACAGTATATAACCACTTTATTATGGACCTCTCAACTTTCCTCTCTCTGTGTCTCTCTCTCATCAGGAGGTTATAACCTGGCTAATACGGCTCGTTGTTGGACCTACTTGACGGCAGCAGTGCTGGGAAAGACTCTTTCCTCTGAGATACCAGACCACGAGGTATGACAGCACACACACACACATACACAGTCCCTTAGGGCCACAGTCACACATACTCTCAGATGAACAAAAACATGCTTATTCTATTGCACTGTCAAGCAAGAAAAAAAAAAATCAGACACACATACACACATTAAAAATACAAACACATCTTGTGTTCACTGTCTGCTGAGTCACTCCATCTAATCAAAGATGGCGGCGTGCTTCTCAATAAAGGAGTTTGTCTCCAGGTCAGTCAGACTGTGTATATGTGAGAGAAGAGAATGGTAGTAGTGTTGACAGGTCTTCTCTGTCTGCCTCATCTAACACAGGGTCCTTTCTCTCCTGCTTATTTGGCAGCAAGGTGCAGTTTTATTTACAATACTGTATATGGATTTATCAAAGGAGAGGGAACCATACAAATCTTAACTCAGATTTTAACTCAATTTGGGGATTATGTGCTTAATAGCTTTTTATTTCCAACAGTGAGATGAAAAGATTGATATAAATTTTAGTATGGAGCAGGATATCTAGTCTAGCTTAGCATAAAGCAGTGGTTCACAAACTGGGGGCGGGACCTCAGTAGAGAGCCGAAATGAAACTGTAGCTTCCAGGTTGTGATCCAAAAGAAAAAAAATCCTTTTGAGATTTTTAATCTGGCTAATAACTAAAGAGCCAGCTTTGGAACACAGTTGTTTTCAATAGTATGTTGTGAGCATGACAACATTTGCGTACGCTATAATGGTATATATTTTTCTAAATGAATTATTGACATTTATGTAATCTTTGTGTTGCTACCGGGCTTTAATGAACACCGTTTCCCAGAAGCCCGAGCCCATCGAGGCTGAAATGTCACCAGTTGATGCCGGTTGACTGGCAGGAAAATTAAACTGAGGTCCTGAGTCGAGAAATGGCTAGAAATGGTATTACACATCTTCTTATGTATTTTACAACTTAAAAAGTTGAGAACTGAGACTAATATCACAAACACACAGTTAGTTTTGTGCTACTTGCACTGCCGAAGTCTAGACGAGTCCAGTAGATGAATGATGTGTGAAGTCAAGAAGAGTCTAGTAAATACATTACGTATAATGTGTGTATATAATAATACATGTACTGCTGTGCTGCAGAGTGATCAAGATCAAAGATTTTTATTGTCAATTCACCATATGTGCAGGACATACAGAAAAATCGAAATACTGTTTCTCTCTCACCTAATATTGAATGCCCATACCATTTAAGACACTAAAGTAGAATAAAAATAGAATAAGAAAACTAAATTAAAGGTGCAGCCTAATAGGCTATGCTAAAAAAAAGTTTATTAACCTTGTTAAAACCACAAAGGTTTCACCATTCAGTAATAATTGTTGTAGTGGTTGGTGGCTCGTCTTACAATATGGAAAAAAATCCAGAGGAACACATTTAGTTTTCTTATAATGACCAATAGAAAAAATGCTGAATGAGAGATTGCATAGAGTCACTGAAGCTAGTGGAACAGAGGCTAACTGGATGTGATGACATGACTTCGGCTCTCTGTGTGGGGCCTGGACTTAAGTTGTTGGTGGTGTCAAAATATAACTGATGTGTGCCAGTGGTTCAGGAAGCGCTGGCACAAAGACTGAAAGAAGGGGTAAACAGCTCCCGGCACCTTCAGAGCTGTAAAATAAAGGTCCATAGATTAAAGCTGGGGAGAGTGATGTATCTTGTTAGTTTTTTCCATACACATACAGAAATGCAAAAAAAAAAAAAGTTTGTTTTTGTTTAAAGGGAGTAACGTGCTGGAAAAATGTCTTGTCAAACAACGAGCAGGTCCAGTGACTGAACTCACTGAGCATATCTGGCAGCAGCATTGAACTATTAGTCGAATGAATAAACTGCAGCTGGTCAAGAAATGGTTACAACATGCAACCCCCCTGAAACCGTCATGCTAATTAGTGAGGTTTTTTTTTTTTTTTTCTAACTTTGGAGAAAGCCAAGCTTGTTGTTTCCCCCTGCTAAGTGGTAACACACACACAGCACTGATATAGACAGTCTCATCTCACACTTGGAGAGAAAGCAAATAAATGCAAATCACAGTAAACATGGGATGGGGTTATTCATCATGATAGGTCATAGCATGGATGTAAACATATGTACTTACTGAGGTGTGAGATTTTTTTTATTTTATTTAATTTAGCAAGGAAGGAAAATGTCCCAGTAATTTACAAGGATGGACATGTAGTCACACTCAATGTTTCATCACAGTAACTGATAAATCAAATACCACCCATCCTCTTTCCAAATAGAAATCAGTAGAACCATCTGTCTTTCTTCTGTCTCTTTCTCCAGCAACTCATTTTTGGACCTTGTCTTGGTCAAATGAATGAATAGCTGTGTGTGTGTGTGTGTGTGTGTGTGTGTGTGTGTTTTGACCGTGATGAAGGTGCCTTTTGTTTCTTGCCATCTCCATCCAGTGGCCCTAAATAGCTTTTGACCTCATTAAGAAGCACTCATTGAAAACACAGCAACTATCAGCGCAGGCAGCTGCAACAGAAGATGAAGGCACACAAATTTTCTCCTTGAATTTAATAATGTAAGAAACAAACCAACCCTAATGGCTTTATTTTGAATACTTAAGTACTTACTGGCTTCTTTTTCCAGTTTAGTAGGTTTTATAGATCTATTATGAAGGTAATTTTCTACTCAAGTCATAGCACTACGCAACTTTAAATAGATGTATGTGTATGTGTGTGTGTGTGTGTGTGTGTGTGTGTGTGTGCTTGTTCGTAGCTCTGTCTGTGCCCATTGTGCTCGATAAGAGGGGCACTTATCCACGATGACCAAGCAAAGCTGAAGTTCCAGCGACACAGGGAACAAAAACTACCTTTGTATTCCCTTAGTTAGTGTGTGTGTGTGTGAGTCCACCCTTCTGCTCTTTTGTAGACAAAACCACATGAATACACACATTCATTACAGTCAGATAATATATTGGTCAGTTTTATAACTTTTTGGTATTTCAGTAGTATGATAACCTCGATAAACTGCAGGAAACAAATGGCGATCAGGTAGGAAGTTGCACAATGAAGTTTTCTTTATTTATTAAAAAGGCTCAAGTTGAAGTAAGATACTTATTTTTTCGCTGTACTGTCATGTTTCAAATGTCATAACTGACATAATAAGTGATGATTCGACTAGTATAGAGCATCCAGCAGCAGCCACTCCAGGCTGTTTCAGTTTGTTAATCCAGACAAATAATGTTGGCTTAATTTTGTTTACAATACTTTGTTAAAGAAGTTTATTTTTAATTAAATCACTCTTATCTTTTTTTTTCTCAGTGTTCACAAGGGTGTACATACAGTCTTTTGGCATGTTCTTGGAGAAATGACTAAATATAGTAGTCTAAAAAACACAAACATCAGAGTTGGCCAGTCACATCAACAATAGTGCTGTAATATTGACTGATTACCAGACAAAATGCTACATTGCAGATAACGCACACAATAGCCCTGCTTCTATCACACTTATTATGCTGCAATATCTTATAAAAACAAAAGTAAAAGTGCTTTTTGAAGCTTGAAGCCGTTAGGTCGAAAGTCATTAACCCGTTGACTTGTATTGTCTGTTAGTGGTTTGCAGATTTGGCTTGACCCCCCCACCTTCCTCATTGTGTGATCGTGGTGGAGTCAATCTCCGTGTGAATCATAGGGCACCAATATGGGGTCTGCTCAGAATAGGCACAGAGGTCAAAGGTCAGTTAGTATGTCTGATGAACTGGGTGCTGAGTTTGTCTGTATTTGTTTTGTTTTTGAAGAAGATTGAATGCATTTTGTGCTTGTCTGGATAGAAAGTAAAGAATGACTCAAAACTGAAGCATATGGTTGTTTGTAGGTTCCAAATCTATGACACTGGGGTTGGCACAGTAATCGTTTTCATTTTTATATTCACACACCCCTAAACCCCCTCTAAATTTTGGGACCTTTCTTGTTTTTCCAGTTTTTAGTATATATTAGTTATATTTTCACTCTGAATCTGAAAAACCCAGAGCTGTTGACAGTGATTCTGAGGTCTCCTTTCCAGATTTATGGTAAAAATACTGATGATTGTAGACTGGCATTAAACAGCTTCTTGGGACAGGTACAGTTTACACATGCCAAAACATATCCGCATGGCTTGGAATCCCCTCATCTCTAGTAAAAGCAACAGAAATAAGTACGAATGTGTATCTGTCTCAGAGCCACACAGGAAGGGAGGACGTCTCTGGTCCCAGATTGGCAGCAGGGAAGCATCCCGTCCCTTTACTTCCTACTTCCTCTTTTCCTGTCTGCAGCCACATCCTGTCCTGCCCCTCATTGCCGTCGGGGATGTGTCGGCTCCCAGAGTCACGGGCTCAATCACCGGAAACATCACCGGAGTCGAGTGCGTGTGTTAAAATGAGGGAAATTCATTTGTTTACAAAATGGCAGAAAAGCTGGAATTCTCATTCTTTTCCATGCATTTCCTATCAGTGTTCATTATTTCGTAAGTCTGGTGCCGTAGATGATTTGACAGATTATGATGCAGGGAAAGTGGTTGGTCAACGTTGGGATGTACCAACAATGAGCTGAAAGAGTTACTTTCCTGTTCTGTTTCCCTTTTGGGAGTTTGTGTCGCTGTTGTTTTTCTAATGTCTTTTTGCGTTTCAAGTTCATGGACAAGCTAGAAAATGAGACCATCACTCGTTTTATCTTCGATTTTTGTTTTCCTGTTAGGCAAGATTTATTTATAAATTAGCCCTGTATTTGTAACTCTTGAACTTTTTGTTACTAATTAATTTCTCAGTTATAACTGAGGTCATCGTGAGATGGATTGTATCACTTTTTTTTAGCAAGAGCTTCGAAGGGTTAAATGTTGAGTGGGTAGTGAATTTTGAAATGAAACTTTTTTTTTTTTTAAGATTTGATGATTTAAGAAAAGAGGCCAATGTTTTGCTTTTGCAACCCTCATTGTAAAAACTGCAACTTGTATTTGTTGGCATAAATAACAGTTATAAGTTTGCAGGACTGAGAAATTTTAATTATCAAAAGTCAAACTGTGCCAACAAATCAAACTCATCTGCTACTTCAACAAAGGTGAAGCCTGATGCATTTGAATTTTAAATTGTGTTTCATTACAAAGGTCTGCCAACATGTTTTTTAGTTGGAGAAGACAGGAAACATTTTACATGGAGTAAATTAGCTTTCTAGTTGGCTAAATGTACAATGAATTGTTAACCCATTAAGGTATTTACATATACTACCCAGCATGCATTTCATCAGGGTTAAAATTCTCCAGATTGACCTGTTTTTGGTCATATAAAAAAAATTACATGATTGAAGTTAATCAGTTTCTCTTCACATGTGTCTCTAGAAGGTTTTGCACAAGACTTAGAGATTATTTTGAGGACTAATAATTGCTGATTTATCATAACTGCTATTAATGCACCAAAAGCTGCCATGATAAATATCACTTATCATCATTCCTAAAAAATACAAAGCAAGAGTTTTGAGTGGAGACAGCTCACAGATTTGAGTCAACTATGTGGAAATTGAGTTGTGATAATGTCCAATAATTATAAATTACACCCAATAGCACGAGATCACTGGATTCTGCAAGAAGACAGACTGGTCCCAGCCTTCGTCGGTGTCACATCCTCACACTATAGCTGCTTCTTTAAACATTGCACACAGGTGAAACCTCTTGAGTTAATTAACCTGCACCTGCTTGAGTAAGTAAGTATAGATGGATCAAACTGCAAAATGCTGTCTTACATTTTTGCAGGCAGTAGATTTTGGAAGACAACTCACCGGTAGACAATGAAAAAAATGGCTAAAAGTCATCTAATTTGAGGTTTAAACATTAATAATTGTTTAGAGATATGAAAAATGTTTGTTTCATTCATCACGGTGCAAAGCTACACCAGCACCTGCTCATTTCGCCGTGACTCTAATCCCCTGAGTTTCCTTTTAGCATTGCCAGTGTTTCAGAAACACACAGTACAAATATTAATTGTGTGGTATTAGTCCGTAAAAGCAACACTGACAGATGAGTCCAGAAAAGATGGATTGAAGAAGTAGAGAGGGTTCAGATGCAGAGGGAGAGACGTGTACCTGTGTCATGTGGATGTGATTTGGCCAATGGGCTGTTTTGTTTTTTTTTTTTTTTTTTCCTCTTTGAGAACATTTATTAGATAGCAGCCTGGTCTTAGACAGGGCCCATTTGTTTTCCAAGACGTTTTCCCCTCCGCTGTGCGACTTGGCTTCCGTCATATCTGGAGATCCTGCTGATTGCTGTAAAAACAAACACGTTCCTGTCCACAGATGGGCAAGTGCATATAAACACACACTAACTCTCTGTCTTTTAACTTGGACTCAAACTCGCATCAACAGCAACAACAGTTATGAGCTGATAAAATATTTTTATTCATTTGCTGTTGTATTATGTTTTCCAATAGCAGGACATTTGTATTTAGTCTCACTTTTAACACTAAATAAAGCAATAGAGTTTACAGACACACGAGGTTTCTAATATCTGTACTGATAATCATGATGGAAAGTAACTAAGTACATTTACTCAAGTACTTCATTTAAGTATAATTTTGAGGTATCTATACTTCAGTATTTTCATTTTCTGTTACTTCATACTTTGACTTAATACTTTTGACATTTTAGAGGCAACTATTGTACTTTTTATTCCAGGAGACTATCATAAGACTCAGAAAAGACTTTTAAAAGACTAAAGTCTGACACCCTCTCACATCTCAAGAGAATGTGTCATTAGTCATATGATATTGTAAAGACTAGGGGTACTTTTACTTTTGGTACTTTAAGTATATTTTATTCCAATACTTTTGTACTTTTACTTAAGTAAACAGTCTGAGTAGCTCTTCCACCACTGATAATAGTAAAGATTTACTTCTGCTGTTCTCCAAAACCTTAGCTAATGAAGACGGTCTGCTTCACAAACACAGTGTTCTATGCACCAAGGCCAGAGCTTCTCGTACAACCCAGAACATGCGAACAGTGAGTGATGAGCAGAGAGTCCATGTTAAGGACTGTGGTAAATAACCAGAGACCTTCCACTATTTATCTCCCCGGGTGTCTCAGCCAGAGACACTGGAGCCAGACAGCGGGTATTTTCTGTCTGTTGACCTTGTCCAGGTGACGTAGATGTGCTGCGTCACCGGATCACGCACTAAGGACTTAATGTTTTCTCTATCTCATGTCGCTCCTTTTCTTCTTCTCTCACTCTACACCTGTCTGTGGTCTAAAAAGTATTAGGAATATTATAAAAATATTGCAGAAATATTACAGAAAAATGAGTGTTTCTTTTAGGAGTGTCTGTATCTCTCTCCTCCTTGCTTCATCTCTCCTCTCCCCATGGCCATCCAAGCCAAACAAGCAGACAGCAGGGGACTGTGTATGACGCGTTTGTGTGTGTGTGTTGCTGTACACCAGGAGACAGAGCACTGGGTTCATGGGAATACATTGCTGGTGTGCATGTGTATGTGTGTTAAGTAACGACTCATGTTGAGATTTGTTGAGACCGGAGGTAAGACAGAAACTCATTAGAGTTAATTGGAAGCAGACACACACACACACACACACACACACACATATTAAAATAGTATGCATGTACTCACACTAGCAAATGTCCTTGTTTACACAGAAACACACGTACATGCACAGTCTTACCTTCATCTACACTTACCACACACATACATACACACAAGCATGCATTCCCTCTTTCTGGCTCAAGCACACATACAGTACACACAGGGCTTTTAAACAAAGACAGAGTACTCTTTGTCTTTCAAGTAAACAAAAGTACACTCCTACTGCATGTTGGCTCAGCTCAGCTGTGTGGACATCTGTGTGTGTGTTGCTAGCAGACCTTCTGAAGTCTTCTCTAATGACATCCATCTAATCCACTAAAGAGTTTCAGTCCAAAACAAGATATCCCTGTCTTTCAAATGATGGAGACAACAGAGTAGAAATTATTTTGGGATGTGGACTGAAACTGTTTGCCAGCTTAAAGGAGCAGTCTCACATGTTGGAGAATGCACATTTAATTTTAAGTAGTGAAACAGATTAACAAATTTGGATGAGGAAAAACAAACAAATATTAATGTAGTGCTGACAAATACTTGGTATCTTATTTTTAAAACCAGGTTTTTAATATGTGTAATATGTATGGAGGAATATGGGTCTTTTGTTTTAGGCCTCAGGCACCTTTGGCTTGGTTTGTGTTTTCAGAGTCCAAGGCTTTCACAACAGACGCTGCAAATGCTCTGACGCAGTTATGGTCAGACTTGGCCTCTTGAGTTTGCTTTGCTCTCATGGCACTGAGTCAGGCCCCGACAGAAATTCATTTTTTTCATCTGACATACTCTTGTTTTAACTTCTGGTTGAACCCACTCCCTGGATTTCCACCTGTCCCAACCCCCC